AAAAAAAAAAAAAAAAAAAACAAAAAAAAGAAGAAAAGCAGATACTCTGTGATCGGTTATTTTATAATATTATTACTTATTATCACTCCCCTCCCTCCCCCTCCCCATTAAGTTAATTTATTAATAATACATAATACATATATATATATATATATAAAACGGATTTTTTTTTTTTATTATTATTATTATTATTATAATTTTTATTCGCAGACTGCAATTGTATGTGTTATTTATTGTGTAACAATTACAACAATACTATTATTATCATCAGCAACAATACATGTATTACTTATATATTATTATGATTATTATCTACGCGCGCGCGCGCATACATTTATAACATTGAATAAATTATTATTCGCGCGTCACGTCAACGTGCGTTACGCGTTGACAGAGCAAATCCGGTGTTTCGATAGAATTTAGAGAAAAAAAAAAAAAAATATATATAAATATAACCTCCCCCCTCCCCCCGATCGGCGTTCCCGCGACGCGGTGCCTATTTCTGTTATTGTTTCGACGACTCCGACCGAGTCGAGTTTCTTTTTGCTCGCGGGACGGTTTTTTTTTTTTTTCTGTATACGTCCACTTGCTCTACGCCGCCGCTATTAACTATACTGTGCCGCTCGTTCGCGTTACGAACCGTAATGCTGGTGTTATCATTACGGCACTCTCCCCCGGGGGTTACGGTCGGAAAATTTTCCCCTCCGCGGCGCAAATGTAAATTGTCGTGTCGGCGCGCGCGTTACACCGGTAACCGTTCGATTTTTTTTGTTTTTAAAATTTTTATTTCTTTCGGGGGTTCGTCTACGTTTCCGGGCACGCGCCCCGCAGCGGGCTATAACGTCGCAGTTAAACGCGCGCGCGACGAACGAGACGAAAAGAAACGAACGTTTCGCACGGCGCGACCGGGAGCGTTTAACCGTCGGCGTGTTCGTCGGCCGGACGCGCGATTTCGCCGCGATTGTCGCGTGTACGCCGGCGGGAGGGGGAGGGTTGGAACAAACGACGCGCGTTTTTCGCCGGCCGGTGATTTCCCCCCTCCTCCCCACCCCCTCCCGCGTACTCCCGAACGCAAAAAAAAAAAAACGTAACGTTCTGAGAAATTTCGGCGGCCTTACGACACCGGCCAATAGAATTTACGGGGCGTCGGCGTCGCGAGGAGAAGACTCGGCTCGCGGGGAGAAAAAAAAGGAAAAAAAAACGAAAATCGCTTTTGCCGGCTTTGCGGATTTTTCTTCTGTTTTTCGCGCGCGCCCGCATATTTTGATGTCGCATACGTGTTGTACGCGTTCGTTGTACACTATACATATATTATTATTATTATTATTATTATTTTTATGATACCGTTGCGTGTTGTGTCCGTGAGCGAATATATTATTATATTTATTATATTTAGGGTGCTTCCACATTTGTATTCGAAAAATTAAGTGAAAACAAAAAAAAAAAAAAAAAAAAAAAAAAAAAAAAAAAAAAAACAAAAAAAAAAAAAAAAAAAAAACAATTAAATTCGATAAGTGTATAAATTATAATATTATATATATTATATTATTATTTTTTATTATTATTATTATTATTAATTTTTTTTTTTTTTT